GGTTTTTAATGCCTTCGTTGTATTAGGTTTTGTGGAGCTTTTGATGGTTGAATGTTATCTTCTTATTATATTTAGATCAACCATTTGAGTTGTTTGTGCAACTATTTGTTGTTGTTTAATGACATTTAAGTACATTCATTTTTTATTAATAGCATCGATAAGGCCTTGAATTGCGTCAACGTCACCTTTTACCATATGAAAGTCACAACACTCAAAAGAACAATGTAAAGTGAAAAAAAAGAAACCTCACAATTCACTCCAAGAAAGTAATACTTCGAAAGGAAAATTAGCAGATCTTGTACTTTTTAAAACTCTCTTACCAAGAAGTCTTATAATGTTCATGTTGGACTTCAATCACTAAAAAAGAAAAAAAATAACTTAGAATGCTCTAAGAAGTCAAACAAATGTTATGACTCCAATTGAACGAGGCAATAAGGAATAATAAGTATGCAAAATCTTTTAATCCAACAACACAAGAACAAAAATGTGTTAGATGATGTAGAGGAACAAAACAAAAAAAAAAGAACCTAAAGCAATATAAGAATAAAAAAAGTAGGAAAATCAAACCCGAAAAACATATAAACGTAGGATCAAATATAGCAACATTTTTTAGGGGGTTGCTGATGTCCAAAAAATTTGAAATATTTTTTGAATTTCTTTCTATGGTGTAGTTTTAGCTTATAAATTTACAGATCAAAACATCTTTAGTAGTATTCGATAGAACATGTTGAACGATGAACTCAAAAACTATCTATTTTTCTTGATCACTTTCTTTGAGAGGGTTGGTGATGTCCAAATGACCTGATTTTTTTACTGGAAGTCACCCTTGGTATGATGAATAAGCATGTAAATTTAATATCAAAATTTATTTAGTAGAAATTTTTGGAAAATTTTCAATGAGGAACCCTAAAATCTGCCAAACAAACTTAAACGATGGTTTTGAAAGGGGGCTTTCTATATACGATTGACCTGGATTTTAGGCTAGATATTTCTATTGGGATGAAGAATGTATCTGTAAAAAATCAACTCAAAATTACTTCGTTTGTGTTTTTTTGGATTTATTTTATTTTTTAAAATATTTTTTTACCTTTTTCTCTTTTCTTTTCTGATTTTTTATTTTTGATAAAAATTAGCAAACTAATAAGAAGAAATTGAAAATAAATTAAAATAATATAAAAAGAACCTAAAACGATTAATCATTGCGAACAAGCTCTGTTGGGGTACCTTGTTGTCGATGCATTCAAGAACAAGCAAAAATGCTTAATCCTCTCCAAGAATTGATCTAAATCTGATATCAATTGTTAAAGGGATGACCTCGAAGTGGTGAACGTTGTTTTTTGTTGAAGAATCAAACCTAAAAAGTTCTATACGCGATCAAAGAGTGGGAGGTGGACAGTGGATGGTGTCCACGAGAATTAAGGTTTACGGTAGTTTAGGTTGCTGGAAAATTGGACAAGAGAGTAAGATAAAAATAGAATAAAGATAATGAAATAAAAAGAAGACAACAAATGTAATAAAATAGGAATAATTTAGCCAAATTGGGGCTTTTGGTAAAATTGTTCCTAACACGGAATCAAGCAAACAAATACTCTTTAGAAAGATAATAAACTATACATTAAAGAAATGTAAAAGAAATTGCAAAAAAATAAATGTATCTAATGAAAAAAAATGAAATTGAAAATTTTCCTGGTAGATATGAGGTTAACACAAACTTGGTTTATGAAGATGATGACAATCGATTGATTTGTGTCCTACGAACCCTCCTAACCACAATTTACTAGTCAAACTCGATAATCAGTTCTAACAAACTCTCCTAATCGCAATGAAAAGGCAAATCGAAGTATGTATATCTCCCTAACGAAAAACTTGAAAGAACTTGATGATGAAGAATTTTTCTAAGGCACAAGGCAATTAACACTTGCAAAAACAAACTCTTGTTATATTATTAATTAAAGAAATCTAATTTACAATGGTGGATGAAGCCACCTTTATATTGGGTAAAAAGTTCCATGAATATAAGTAACTACTAAATAAAATAATAATAAATTAAAGATAATTTTTTATTCTATCCTAATTCATAATAAAATAATAACAAACTAAAGATAATGTTTTAACTCTACCTTAATTTCTAATAAAATAATAAATCTAATCCTAAAAGATAATGCATCATCCTATGTTAAATTATATTACAAATAATCAATAATTTTTTTGAAAATTTGTAATATTTACAAAATCACATATTAATCCCGTAGAAGAAATGTCTTCACTAAAATGGATGTATCTCAAGCTCTCGATATCGGATTGATACGATTCAAGAACCGTTAGAAAACTAAGAGATAGTCGGTCGTAACTCAATAAGACATATCGACAAAATAACACTTGAATATAATTCAAAATGTCATTGCAAGTGTGATGATGTTTTGGTCTTCTTTTCCAAAGCTTGGACGTATTGGTCAATTGGAAGAGTTAGTCCATCCTCCTTTAATGTGAGCCTTGTGATGCATGTATAAACAAGATGAGCCAAGATGAACTCTGACAGGGTTAGGGAAAACACGCCAGGGAAAGCAACCTGTGGTGGGGTGGTGTGTGACTCTAATGGTGACTGGATTGTTGGGTTCATGAAGGCTATAGGGAGATGCTCAGTTTTGGAAGCTGAATTGTAGGGGGTGTTGTCGAGCCTTGAAATGGTAAGGGAACTCGAGCTTCAAAATGTTGTGGTCGAGGTGGATAGTAAAGATGTTTTCAAGCTGCTTTTTAAAGGAGAGAAGATGAATCGAGTATCGTCGTTGGTGCCATATATTGTGCGGTTATTCAGTCGGAACTAGAACCTGAGATTTGTGCATGTACCTTGGGAACGTAATAGAGTTGCTGATGTGTTGGCAAAGATGGCATTTTTGCTGCCATTTGGGACCCGAACCTTTTCAACGCCACCGGAGGAAGCCTACTCGTTATTTATAGCTTACTGCAACTTTTGGGTAGTGAAGTCTGGAAGTCTAATCTTATTTTTTAGCTTCTACATTTTAGTATTAGAAAAAATAATTCTAATGAAAATATTAAAAATATTTTTTATATTTTCAAAATTTCAAATATTTTTATTTTTAAAAATTATTTTTTAATTTTATAACAAAAAAATATATTTTCTAAAAAAATAAAGCTTAAATGTATCTTTGGCCCCTGAAGTTTCATAAAAAATCAATGTGACCCCTATCGTTTTTTTAATGATTTTGGCCCTCCAACTCGATAAAAAATACCAATCGGGCCATTTGACCAATGAAAACCGTCATCGACCAAAATTCCGTTAATTCTTGCTGCTATAAATTGGGTAAATTGCAACATTCATCACTTAACTATTTTATTCTCTTCTATTTTGGTCACTAAACTCTAAAATTTTCAATTTAAAGAATCCTAGAGACTTCACGAACTAAGGCTGTAGTTAACCCATTTTACCCCATTTCTTCTACTTCGTCGTCACTGATTATGGATGTTTCGACACCGCTCCGGCTATTGGAACTCAACTTGATATCTGCTCAAGATTTAGAACCCATCGTCCGTCGCGGAATGAAGACGTTTGCGTGGTTTGGGTCAACCCCAAACGGAAGCTCACGACCCGAAGCGACACCGAAGGCCACACCAACCCGACGTGGAATGATAAGTTCATTTTCCGGGTCGACGACGAGTTCTTATCCAGTGAAACGTCCGCCGTCATGGTCGAAATATACGCCGTCCATTGTTTCCGTGATATCCACGACGGGACCGTTCGGATCATCATAGGGAATCTCTTAAAGACGTCGTCGAGCCACCAATGCCTTGAATTTGAGCTAGACATGAGGTTCGTTGCGCTTCAGATCCGGAAACCGTCCGATCAGCCGCAAGGGATTTTAAACATCGGGTTGAATTTGTTTGACGGTTCGAGGAGGAGCATGCCGTTGTATATGCAAATGGGTTCCTCACCACCGGGTACCAATATTTTATGGGCGAAGCAGGAATTCAAATCTCCGTCGTGGTCGTGGTTTCGTTTATTTTGTGTTTATCACGATTGCGTCCATAGCGAGTGTTATTGGACGCTATTATTGGACGAGTGTTATTGATCGCGGATCGCTATTTAAAATGCTCGACGAAGACAAGCGGGTTCAAAGCAGTGATAGGAGCAACAACAACCGTTTTTCATTTGAGCCAACCAAACACGAGCTTCAAAGAACCTTGAGCGATTCGAGTTCGATGTTGGGATCTCAATATGTGCCGATGATCTCCATTAAATGATCGTCCATTTTCAACCCAGGCGGTGCGGTGGCCCGTCGGAAAGAAGCGACTACAAGATTAAATCTAGGGGAAGTTCAATGTTGAATTACACGTTTGAGAATAGTACTAACAAAAAAGGAAAATCAAGCTCGATAATATACGGGTCAAGAATCAGTTCTTTTTTCGGTGAAAGCAACAGGGTTTCGGTGAAATAAAGATGGGAGAAAGGCGAGAGTCCAGTGCACGACGAAGTGGAAGAAATAGAGGAAAATGAGTTAACTACACCCTTAGTCCCTGAAGTCTCTAGGATTTTTTAAATTGAAAATGTTTAGAGTTAGTGTCCAAAATAAAAGAGAAGAAAATAGTTAAATGATGAATGGTGTAATTTATCAAATTTATAACAGCAAGAACTAACAGAATTTTGGTCAATGAAGGTTTCCGTTAGTCAAAGGGCCTGATTGGTTTCTTTTATCGAGTTAGAGGGCCAAAAACTAAAAAAAAAGATAGGAGCCACATTGGTTTTTTTTGAAACATCAGGGGCCAAAGATATTTTAAGCCAAAAAAATATAAATGAAAATAATTTATATTTTCTAGAATAAAGTCACTCTAAACTTTTCAGACATTTAAAAAGCTAATTTTTAGATTCAAGGTTATAACAAATACTGGAATTTGGTTTCTATCATATGCTAATATGAACTCTTTAAGAACTAAAATCATAATTCATCGTACAAGCCATGCATACAGACGCTAAATTCCCCATCTCAGCTCAGGTGATGGAACGCTTTCATGGCAGAAGCTGAAGAAGAGACAGAGATAAAACAAGAAGAAGAAGAAGAAGAACAAGAAGAAGAAGAATTTACACTAACAAACATGTCAATAAAAGCTCCAACTATAAACCCATGATTCTTCTTTCTATTCATCTTCAAGTACCATCCCAATAACTCCTCTAGATGTTCCTGTTCCTTCAGTTCACAAGCCTCCACTATCTCTTCCATTGAAACTCTAAAATCCATGTAAGGATCCACCGTTTCTAACGCCAATGCCACACAGTCCTTGAAAGGGAACCTGGCTGCCTCCAGTATCGAACTGGTGGTATCGGGCTCGAAGAACAGCCGGTTCGATCGGAGCGCCTCGATAGCCACATCGAGCAGCTCGCCGGAATCTTTAGACAACTGAGACCAAGAGGTTGAATGCTTCAGGGTTTTGGGCTTGGATATGAAGGAAATGGCTTTCAAGGGATTGAAAAGAGATAGTTTCCAAGACCCTTTGGCTTTGGACTTCTTGCAGATGGCTGGAAATTTCATGTTCATCGAGCTTCCAAAATTGATCACTTCACTGGATTGAGTTTCATGCTTTTTTTTTTTAAATATGGGTTTCGAGTTAAATGCAGCATTTATCGTGTGTAAATGAGTAAGGTGGAAAACAGAGGAGAGTTCGTTGGGGAACTTTCATGTGGACTTCATTATTGGTTTTAACTCGATCGTTAAAGTTTCAATGTTTTGTTTGTTCGGTCTGAAAAAAAATGACAACTTTAATGAAGTCGTAAATGGAATACAGCTAATAGAAATGATGATATACACACATGACCGAAGATACGATGAAATATCCCTTCCAAGTCCAAGTTATTGGTATTTATTTTCTCCACTAAAATTTTAAAAATAACAAATTTGTCTTTAGTATTATCAGTTTATAACAAAATGGTCATTCCACTATTGTCCCTGTTAAATTGATGATGTGATAATGTTAACAAAAACGTTAATACTTAGTTTACCTTCAAAAAAAAAATTTTAATTTTTGTTTTTACAAACATCTCACAACCTCCACTATATTCAAATAACTAAATGAACCCACTTGACTAAGTGAACAACCTCATCACCACCAATAACATAGATAGGAGACTTTCTGTTACACAAAATGTTAGTCCGAAAAATAAAATAATAATAATAATCAAATATTATTATATAAATCAAACGAATCAAAATAAATACAAAATTAAAATAAAAGAATAAACTTGTTTACTCGTGTGTAGACATGGAATTAGTGAGTAGAGTCAGATAAATAGAAGAATAAAATTTTTTGAGGCCTGTATGAACAGTTTCACCCTCTCCTTGGTGCTTTAAGTAACGTTGGATGTTGATCTCCCAAGATACATCAACAAACGATTACAATAGTAAGCACAATGTAATGACCAGTCAAACACAATCTTGCCTTTCTTTATCACCGAAAAGAACAAATTTGGAAGGAATTTTCTTAATGTTTTCCTATTCCAAAGTTCTAAGTTGTAACTTGTGTCTATTTGTGTCTAAACTAACCTATTTATAGTGGAAAGTAAATGAATCAAAAGGTTAATCATTTTAACAAAAAAAAAAAAATTAATTCCATTTATTTTATCAGTTGATTCTATTAAATAACTGAATTTAAATTAAAAATTAAATTCAAAACAAAAATCTGTAACAATATTATTATTTCTAAATGATTTCTGTTATAAACAATAAATTGAGTAAAATATGTTGGATAATAGGATTAAAATCCAAAAACAAAATTATAGTATGGTTTTTGTTTACAAAAAAAAATCAAAATTTCAGTTTGGCACCGTATGTAAGAACTAAGTACTGCAAAACAAATAAGTTAGCACTGACAAGTACGATGTAATGAGACGAATAAGAAAAATTATTACTACACCATGGTAGTCCACTACCTTAAAAGTGAATTCGTCCTAACGGTGTAATCGAAAAAAATGTACGATTGACTCCAAGGTTAACATAGTGCTCCCTGTTTCGTACACCCGAAATAGGAAGTTGGAACTCAATTGATTACTCTTTTAAAAGCCAGAAGATATGAAAAGGATCAGAAGATAAATGATATTAATTTACTAATAAGGTTTTAAAAAGAAAAGAAAATAATAAAGGAAATTCGTAAGATTTAGTGATGATCGTCAAAGAATAGAGAGATACTTGATGAAAAGATGAGTGAAGAATAATGTATATTAGCCTTCTTTATATAGGCTTTCAATAGTGGTAAAATTGGAACAAAAAGGGGAAATATAACAATTTTTCTCCCTTGAATCTCTTACATGAAAAAACCACCCACTCTCTCTTGAATCCTTCACCACAAGCAACGACTCACTCTCCCTTGAATCCTTTACCACAATAAAATGGTCCACTCTCAAAATTTACATTATCTACAATCCCATGCTAATGTAAATGAGCAAAACATTGTCTAAAAAGTGATTTTAAAGACAAGAAAAGATCAATACAAAATTATATGCTTAAGTATTAGTGAACGTATTCAGAACTAACACATAGTGAAATGAGCAATTCTTCTATTTAACAAGTGAACGAATCTGGAACTTATTAAGATAAGAGTAAACTCAAAGCACATGTTGATTTCTTCGTCAACTGAGTTCTGTAATAGATAAAAAATATAGCCAACATAATTTGGGATAATGGTAAGTGCTCTAGAAAAATGTCCCTAACACTTTTCATAGAAGGTGACTAATCCTTCACAGTTTCGTAGGTGATTTCATCAAGTCTATCTTAATATAAACACTCAAATCAGGGATATGAAATCATTAAGAGTATTTAGTAAGCTCAACCTCACAATTAATATTTGATGAATTCATCAAGTCTTTCTCACAAGGACAACCCAAGTCATGGGCTATGAACACATTAAGAGCATAAGCTCCTCCTTTCACGTTGGTAGATTCATCAAGTCCTTCTCACTAGACCAACCAAAACCTGGGCCATGAATCCATTAAGAGTTCAAGACTCAACCTCAATTGTACACAGTACACCATATGGATAGGAAATAGTGTACTATATTCAATCAATGGGCTTAAGACCCACCCTATCGACGTATCAAGAACCATTTTCCTACATAACCCTTTAATTAATGGGTCAGATAGGTTCCTTTTTGATTTCACATACTCCATAGAGAATACACCATTCTTTAGTAAATGTCTCACATGTTAATGTCTTATCCGAATAAGCCTTTTCGTACCAGTATAGGCTTGATTTTGAGCAACATACATTGTTGTTTGTGAATCACATAGTAAGGAAATGAGAGGTGTATGCCTCCCCCACAAAGGAATCTCTAGGAGTAGATTTCTAAGCCGCTCAGCTTCTTATATGACTAAATCAAGAGATATAAACTCCAATTCTATGGTCGAGTGAGCAATACACGTCTGTTTAGCAAACTTCCACGAAATTGATGCTCCTCCCAAAATGAAGACATAGTAATTAGTAGAATTGACCTCATCATTATCAGTTACCTAGTTCACATCATAATATTCTTTAAGAACTATTGGACAACCAATAAAATGCAAACCCCAAGTCAAAGTACCTTTAATATATTTCAATAAGTGCTTAAGAGCATTCCAATGTTAGCTACTTGGGTTATGATTATATCTACTTAGTGTACTGACAACATAAGCAATATCTACCTGAGTATAGTTCATTAAGAACATTAGACTTCCAATAATCTTGGAAAATTCAGTTTGAGATGCACAACTCCCTTTATTTTTTTTAAAAAAATATACTATAATCATATGGGGTTCTCACGGGGTTTACATCAAAGGTATCAAACTTCTTTAATACTTTTTCTATATAGTGAGACTGATTAAAAAACCCTATCAGATTTATTAACTTTTACCCCTAATATTACATCCACTTCTCCTAAATTTGTCATTTCAAATCTGGTAGATAAGAACAACTTCTTTGTTTTCTTAATGGCTTCGACGTGTGTACTAAAAAGTAATAAGTCATTAACATATGGACTAATAATAACACAATCTGAATCAAACATTTTTGTGTACACACATGCATCAACACTATTGACTATAAAACCATAACTAAGAATAACTTTATGAAATTTTTCGTATCACTTTTTTTGAGCTTGTTTTAAGACCATATATGAAATTTTTTTGAGTCTAGAAACTTTATCCTCCTTTCCAGGAATTGTATATCCTTGAGGTTGCTCTATATAGATCTTTTAATTTAAATCACCATTTAAAAAGGTTGTTTTGACATCTATTTGATGTACTAGCAGATTATGAATGGAAGCTAAGGAAAACAATATATGAATAGTAGAAATCTTAGTCACAGAAGAATAGGTATAAAAAAATATCAACTCCAAATTTTTGAGTGAACTCTTTATAACTAGTCTTGCCTTATACCTTTATATTGATCCATATGATCTTAGTTTCTTTCTAAATACCTACTTATTACTAATGGGCTTACAATCCTTAGGTAAATCCATTAATTCCCAAGTGTGATTAGACAATATAGATTCAAGCTCGTCATTAATTGCATTTCTCCAAAAAGTAGCATCAATAGAATTAACATCTTCATCATACTTGTTGGATCATCATCTATTAAAAACACCTGAGCTACAAAATCATTAATCGAGTCTAAGTTATCAAGTTCAACAATAAATGAAGTAAGGAAGTCTGGACCAAAATTACTTGTAGTTTTCTGTCTATTACTCCTCCTAGGTTCATTAACAAGATCAATATATCTAGCATGTTTGTTTGACAATGAAGGAGTAAGTTATTATGCACAAAAAAGATTTCTTCAAATGAAATATATTTTCAAAGAAGATTGAACCTCTAGATTCATATTGAATAATCATGCAAAGACATAAATCGATAGGTGGCACTATTCAAGGCATAATCAATGAAAACAACATCAACAATTTTAGAACCAATAAACTCCTTTTGAAAGAAAACAAACCTACTTTAGCTAAACACCCTCACACTTTCAAATAATTCAAATTAGGGGTATAACCTTTCCATAGTTCATAAAGGGTAAAATCTAGTTTTTATGAGACACTCTATTAAGAAAATGATTTGCACTAAGAACGACCTCACCCTACATGTTATTTGATAAGCCTGGGTTTAATAAAAGAGCATTCATCATTTCTTTTAATGTTTTATTTTTCCTTTTGGTTATACCATTTTATTGTGGGAAATAGGGGGCAGAGAACTCATGAATAATTCTATATTTTCATATATTTCTTTAAGAAAGTTAGAACCATATTCACCACCTCTATCGGATCTAACTCGTTTTATTTTTCTATCAAGTTGATTTTCTACTTCTGCCTTGTAAATCAAGAAGGTTTGTTCAGCTTCTTATTTGGATCTTAAGAGATAAACTTTTGTATACCTAGAGTAATAATCTACAAAATCTATATAGTAGAGTTTTACTCCTTTACTTTTTGTGTTTTGAAGTTTGCTAGATCAGTATGAATTAACTCCAAGAGTACAATCTTCCTTCCAATGGCTGGTTTAAAATTGGTTTAGTATGTT